ACACACACACACACACACACACACACACACACACACACACACACACACACACACACACACACACACACACACGAAATATTGTAAATCTGGGGCGTCTCACAGCGTGTTTGCCGACACTGCCGCCACTTACAGCTTCTAACTTTACGAGCTAAAGTTTCATTAATATTTTTTTTTTCACTTTATTTTAATTTCATTTCGTTTCCTCCATTGCCTCTGCAACTTAATCGGCTTACAAATGAATGGTTTGATTTTATTTTATTTGACATCTCTATTTAGAGGTTTTCACGCTGTTTGTGCATAATGTTTAAGGAAATAATAAATTTTAATTTTTACGATCCAACACAACAGAGATATTTAAACATATATACCTCTACCAGCGAAAACATATTTAAATTGACCGCATTTGCATGCTGTGATTTCCAAAAAGGTTGTCATAAAAAAAAAATAGGAAGAAAGATTTAAATACAATTTTCAGTCTAATTTTGTCTAGCGTGACGTTGAAAGGCGATAAGCTGCTTATCAGCTGATTCACAGACCGTAGGAAATATTTATAGGCACAGACATATTTACTTATATAGCTACTTATGAATAATACCCACGCTCCCAAAGTGGATGCTCCGTTGTGTGCCCTTAAATTATCTTCAAGTTTTTTTTTCGTATTTTTATTAGGTCTTGTAGAACTGCATTTTATTTAACTTAAATTGGTTTTATTATATTTTTTTTTTATTTTTTTATAACGTAACAATTTAATTTAATAAAAAAATTGTACGTATTTGATGTCAAATTATTAAAATTAATTTTATTTTATATTATCTTATTTATTTTATTTCTTGTTCTATTTTAACTTATGTTTTTAATACTTTTTTTAAATTTAATTTAATTTAGCTCAAATTTATTATACTGTGTTTTGTCTTATTCTATTGTATCTCTTTTATCTTGTAAATTTTATTGTAAATTGTCATTATGGTTAAAATTATATTTTTCAATTTTGTTTTACATTATTTCATTTTATTTTTTTTATTCTGTATATTTTTTTCTGTAATTTTTTTTAATATTTTTTTTTTTTAATTTATTTCATTTTATTTAATATTGTTTTATTATATTTTAATATTTAACGTTATTTTCTTTTATTTATTATTTTAGTTCTTTTATTTAATTTATTTTTATCTTTTGTTTTTAGATTAATTTAATTTAGTTTAATATTTTTTTAAATAATTTTATGTTCTTTTACTTTTACTTATTTATATATTCAATTATTTTATATTATACTATTTTTTTTTAATTTTTTCGTTTTATTAAATTTTATTGTAGTTTTTAATTTCAAATAATGTAATATAATTTAATAATTATGCATTAACTTAATTTTAAATTTTTTTGTTCTATTTTCTTTTAGATTTTTTTAATTTATTTCATTTAGTTTTATTTTATTATTTTTATTTGAGTTTTAAATTGAAACGAAATTTATTTTATTCTGTTTTTTTTTATTAATTTTTTTACTTTCTGCTTACTTTAATTTAGTATTATTTTATATTATTTAACTTAATTTCAATTAATGTAATTTAATTAATTATGTTTAGATAAACTCCATTTTAGTTTAGCTCATCTTTTTTGTTTTATTTAGTGTTATTTAATTTAATTTTATATTATATTATATTATTTCACTCTTTTTAAATTTTTCTCTAACAACCCCAATATGCTCATCATGCCCCATTAATTTTGCCACTGTTTCAACATTGATTCATTAATGTGCATATATACATATCCACAATATATACATATCAGCTGCTTATTGATTCCAGCACACTGATTTATGAGCAATTCCTTCATGAGCAATAAAAATGAAAAGACTTACTTTGGCTTACTTGTTATTAAAATTTTTTTTTTTTGTGACTGACCAGGTTTTTTATTGAATTAGTCACATCACTAAGCATATATAAATAAATGATCTTTGGTATAAAGAAAATTTTTGATAGAATTACTGAAAGTGGGGACTTGGCGCTCGCTCTTTTCTATGGAATGGAGAGCAAAACAAAGCGGAAAAGATCGATTTATGGTTTAATTTTCATGTGCTGCTTATTTAAATTTCTGTCATTTTAGGCTTCTCTTTTCAAAGCCTATAAGAGGTAAATATTCTGCCGACTTTTCGGAATTTTAAGTCTTATAGATGATTTCTCGATTAAAAAGAAAACAAAAATACTCGCTATTACTTAAATGTTACATACATATGTTTATCATCTTTATTATAAAAAAATTATAGTAGAGTTATTTATAAAAATATATTATATATTCAAGATAAATTGAAGGCAAATTACTTAGCATCTTAAACTCGTGACCTCCAATTATGGAGGCTTACAAACGTAACATCTCTGCAGTTTAGCTCTAAATACAAACTGCCTCTCAAGCGTTTCTATCTAGAAATTGCAGTTATCAATTTAAAAATCCAGCCAATAAAAAGTAGTCAGTCGAAAAGTGAGTAAGTGAGAGACAATAAATGCGTAGCAATGCAATAAATTGCCATTACTGTAGCGTATGCTGGCATTTTTCCATGAGTCAATTGGCACTAATTACTCAATGTCAATTTTCCTTGCTACACTTTTGTGAACTTTTCTCTCCACTCTCTTTCACTTCTCAACTTTGTTTAGCTATTTACTTTGACGACTGTTTATTACTATTTTTTTTTTTTTTGCTGTGACGAAGCTCATACAAAGGCGCGACCACTTGAGAACACAGCCAACGGTACTTATATTCGAACTCGTACTAGGCACGCGCTGTGCTCTCATTCTAAAGTTGATTTGCAATTTAAGTTTTGTTACGGCAATTCACTCATTAAAGTCAATGGTCGGTCCAGCTGGTCGCCCTCTGGAGCTGACCTCTCCCTCACCGCACTTTCCCTTACTTACTTATTCTCGCATTGTCAGTTTAAAATGCAAATTCAACTTCTTAATCTCTCATTATTATTCCTATAGTTTGCGAGTTACTGTGTTTGTTGTTCAACTGTAGGATTCTATGCAATGCTGGGATCTGTTGCTCCTTTTACGTCACTGTCATGGTGCATCACTTGAAAATTATTTTAAAATTCCATTGACTTTTCTCTCAATTGCTTTGAATTGAAGTTAATTTTGTTGCTCAAGTGAAGTTTTTGTTGTTATTTACCGCTTTTACTGATTTTTTTCGCCCCGTTTTGCTGCAACTATGTAAATCGCCTTTGAATGGCTACTTTGATTAAGTTTAAATTGAAATCATTTGCCAAGTTAAATAGAAAAAAGTGTAGGAAAACTTTAAAAAGTGAAAAATGAGCGTGAAATCAAATTGATGGGGATGAATAAAGAAAATAAAAGTGACTACGTTAAGTTGCTTATTGAAATGTGAATGTGAATTTGACTGCAAAGTGAACATTAAACCCAAGCTCTTGACGTTCTTCTGAATCATGATAGCATACAACGCCTAAATGAAGGTTACACTACTCAAACGTTCTTCCGCATTAAACTAAAATAACTGCCTACAACTTGGCGCACTTTCAAAGTTTCGTAATTCTCAATTAGGTAATTGAAAAATTAAGTTTTATTAAAAAAAGTTATATTCAACAAAGTGTCTCAATTAAAAAATTTTTAGGAGTTTTCGTCGAAGAAAATTTTAACGCAAAAAAAACCTCACTTTTTTTTTATTTTACTTTTTGCTTTTATTTTAATATAAATTGGCGCCTACTAACTACGAAATCCATCTTTAACTACACAGTCGATCGATATGACCTCATTTGTTATGGTCACTCCATCTTGTGTTTGTAGATTTTACTTTTTTATACACTTAAGATATGTGTATGCCATTAAATTTTTATTTATTCTTCTATAGTTTTTTTTATATTTTGTATACATACTTTGTTTCGCAAGTTGGTTACATATCTCACTTGTATGTTAAATAATTAAACGCCGTGCTGAGGGCAACGCTCGTCCACACCCACTCAATATTTTCGACATTTTCAAAAAAAAAAAAAAAAAAATAATAATGAAGTAAAGAAAATAGTCCGTGGTTGATACACTCAGGCCGGAAAGAGGAAAAACATCTCCTATGTTTAATAATTGGTTTTTGGGGTAAGAAGAAGAAGAAAAATAATTGTGTACACAAATGTCCATAACTACTGTATTCTGAGGTATACGCGAATAAAAATACAATACTTACAGAAACATGCCACAAGACGGTAAGAACTTGTGGCATGTTATAAAAAAAGGCAAAGACTTTAATGAACAATTATTCTATGGACTGGCGGGTAAATTTCATACTTGAAAGGAACAGCGAAAGGAATAAGGTGATTGGTTTCATTGTATGTAATATATACATGTATGTACATACTTGCAATCGTATATACAAAACTATTAAAAATTTAATTAAATCAAATAAACCCAAGAAATATTAGACGGCGGAACGAATTTCATGATAAAGGCAAAAAATATCTGTTAGAATACAAATAATTGATAATAAATAGAATAAAAAAATAACAAAAGGAATAAATTAAAATAAAAAAATTACAATAAAATAAAGTAATATAATATAAAAAAAATTAAATTAAATGAAATGGAATCAAATAGAATGGAAAATAAAATGAAATAAAATAAAAAAAAAAAATAAAATAAAATAAAAAAATATAAAATAAAATAAAATAAAATAAAGTAAAACAAAATAAAATAACTTAAAATTGAAAAATATGAAAAAATAGAGTAAAATATATATAAATATAAAATAAAATAATTTAAAAAAAAAATAAAATAAATTAAAAGATGTAAGGTAGTATAAAATGAAATTAAACAAAGAAGAGAATCTAAAACATCGCAAATTAAATTGTATCAGCAAATAAGATTTTTTTTACATTTTTATACTGGATTTCCTTTTATTTTAATATTCTTGTTTTGCTGTTATTTCAATTTTTTTTTTAAATTGTAAATTTTACATAACATTACTTACATAATTCTTTAATATTTTTCTACTTCCCCTCTTTTATTTTACAGAATTTTTTAGTATTTCCACAAACTCAATACAAGTACCATTCGGTTGAAACGTGAGCTGTGTTTAACTAACGGTGGAAAGCAGCTGTTGCGCATACAAACATACTTGGCTAACACATTTCCTTACAATAAATGCACACAAATGTGCAAGATTATCCGCAAATATGTAAAAATGCCAATGTCAACAGTGAAACAACAACTGCCGCAACCATATTTACTACACCAACAACAACTACTACTTCTGTAGCACATAAAACGGAATAAAAGCAGGAAATCACATTTTGAGGTAAGTACGCAATTTCAGTTGACATTCAACAGCAAATGCGACAACAACAACTACGAAATTTCGTTTGACATATGCAAAATGATTTTTAAAAATGCTGAGGCACACATATACATATCAACTATTACACAATTTTGAATATGTTTATTTTGTAATGCTTCAGGGTGTGCGTGACGAAAGTAAATTTTGTATGATTTTACGAAGGATAAAGGAATTTGGTTGAAATATATTATTTAGGCGATTTCGATTTGACTTTTTATTATACCTAACGACGTTCACTCAGTTTTTGAGTTACATTTTACAAAGCGCAGGAGTATGTATGCGTGGCAAAAAGTGTTGCAACACAAATATTTGACTTTGCAAAGGAAAAGGCTGCCGGCCGAATAAGGAACGTTACCGGATGTGAATTTAAGTTTGTTTGCAAAACGAACGCATTTGAATCAACAAATCAAGAAGTAGCAAATTAATTTATGAAGCGAATCTGCTGTTGACGATAGTTCCACTGCTATTTGAAAATCAACCGAAAATTTTAAAATCAATTATACGGAAATATGTTGATATTCGTTTATATGTAAACGAAGTTTGCGCATGTTAACATTTGTCTGCGTAAAACTTTTGATGGGCAAATTTAAATGAAATATAAAAATAATATAGAATTAAAAAATTAAATTGATTTAAATAAATAATAATAATTTAAATAAATAAAACAAAATAAAATAAAATAAATTAAAATAAAATAAAATAAAATAAAATAAAATAAAATAAAATAAAATAAAATAAAATAAAATAAAATAAAATAAAATAAAATAAAATGAACTTAAGAAAGAAGAAAAGATATTGTACAATAAAGTTAAATAAAATAAAGTATTAAATTTAAGCAAGAAAAAAAATAAAAAAATTATTGTACGATTGAAGTAAAAAATCAAATTGAGTTGAGTTGAGTTGATGCAGCTGCTACTGTCAGCAGACTTAGGCCAATAGGCCCATTGTGATACCGCTTAGGCTCCTGCCTTCACCTTCTCAGATGATTGAACCATTTCCTGTGCCTCATCAAGGCAACGAGATTTTAACTATCCGGTGAGACTATCTCAGCGAGACAATCGAAGAAATGTTTATCAAGAAATTGGTATCGCGCTGACGTCAAGGCTGAACAGTGGCAGAGGTAGTGCTCGATGCTTTCCTCCTCGGCAGAAATCATTAGAATGATATCCCATTCTTTTCCCGTGAAGCCCCGTTAAACAGTTTCCAGTTATTATGCCCATCTTAAAGCTAATGGAAAACCAGTCTAGGAGGATAAGACGTTTGGATTTTTTCGAGTCCAGCTTTGGCCGTAGCTGTTTGGTCACGTTACATGTGATTTGGTTCAGCAATCTTGAGTCAGCTTCTTTAGTAAGAGCTTGTTTAAGCATGTGCTTTGACTTAGACAGAGGTAAACCAGCATCGTGTGTATGCTTTATCGTGTGGAGAAGGGTTCCTTCCCTTGCTAGTTCGCTCGCCATGCAGTTGCCTGGAATGTTCCTGTGTCCAGGTACCGAGACAACGGCAGTGCTGTATTTAGTTAAGAATTTATTGAGAAAGTTCCTACATTTTATGGTCACTTTTGACGTGGTGCCATTACATTGGAGAGAGTTTCTCGTATAGGTCCAGAGGAATGTTGTTGAGAAGAGTTAACAAGGTTTTTGAGGGATATGATGAAAGTGCTTCTGTTACCAGGATAACAGCCGATAGTTGAACTCTCTCTAGTTTGCTCCTGAACGTAAGCTTGCTGCCCAAGATTATGTCGAGATACTTTACCTCGGTAGAGAGGGTGACCTCCACGCCCTGTCGTTTAGGTGGCTTAAAAAGAGTCGGTTTGTGCCTTCTGCTAAAGAGAACCATTTCGGGTTTATCTGGATTGACGTCCAGTCCGCTGTGCTTGCACCAGTTTCTAACAATGTAAAGAACATTTTTAAGGAGATCACTTAACGTTTGTGTATGTCTACCCGTCGCTGTTAGGGCAAAGTCATTAGCGTATGCCACCACACTACAACCTGAGTTGTGTAATTTAAAAAAATCGAGCTGAATAAGATAAGAATAATAAAATAAAGTGAATTAAAATAAAATAGAATCTATTGATGGAATTAAATAATTTTAAATTTACTTAAATTGAAATTATATAAATTAATTAATTAACATAATATAATTAAGTTAAATTTAATGAAAATAATGTGGAATAAAGATAAATTAAATCAATAAATATAACAACTGTCCTAGACAAGTTTGTTAGTGAAACTAAACAGGTGGTTAACATTTTTCATTTTATAAAATTAGTAGAAATGAGCAAACGGTGATATGAGCCTTGTATGAGTAGAACTTTTGAAGGAACTTTCCGTTCCATAAATATATTTTGCCACACCTTAGCTATGATAACGTTGTCAGGATGTAAATGTAGCAAATGCTTGCCTCTCGGCATTCTGCACCACGTGCGCACGGAGCGAGGTAGCGAGTGGGTTAAAATATTTTCGGAAACTTTCCGCTTCACATTAAAATTTACAATTCACGAGCCATAAAAAGCGCGTGATAGTGAAATTTATGAGTGATCAAGTTGACTGCCTCTTGTACTCTGCTCAGTTTTTGCAACCCTTCCTCTAACACACCGAAAGCACCTACAGGAAATGTGCGAAAATTTTCCGCTAGCAAATGGCAAATATGTTGAAATTTTTTTTTTCGCATTTGTTTTTTTTTTTTGTGTAAAAAATCGAAATGCAACGGAAGTGGTGGCGAGAATTTTGCTTTTAGCGCAAAGTGCTGTCGTTGGCTGTTAACGCGAGAGAGAATGCGGGAAGGTCACAAGGATATTAGAAGGGGGAAAAGTTTATACATATACATATGTCTATGTATGTATATGTATTTTGAAATATACATATGTTAATATGTGTGCATTTATGCTGAGTATTCATTGTAAAATATATATTTTTACCTCAATTTTTTTATTTACCTCCCAACAGTTCGGTGTTGTTTTGCAGAAGTTTAGATATTTTATTTTCCGTAATGCTACTATACGTACTTGCATATATGTAGGTGCTTTATATCCTTAAATACGTTGATATATATATATATATTTTAACTCGAGTAGAGCAGCATTTGAATATATAATGTTGCACTTTTGCATATGCAACGAGCGCTGCGAGCCACACATTTGCTAAGCGAGTGTAAAAGTTCAAGGTGCATGCATGCAAGGAAGGTCGAAATAAAGTAAACATTAAATATACTTATACACAGAGATATGTACACAAATAGGTAGGTGGTCATGGCTAGAAGAAGCCCTAGTTAAAAAAAATTCTGAGGCTGTTTAAATGAGGGTTGTATGAGAGGGCGCCGGAGCAACGTATTGAGTGAAGTGCATACGTGCCGCAAGCAACGGAAACCACTGAAAGATTAAAGTAGAACATTGTTTTTGTGATTTAACTTTGCTATTCTAATTTGTTACGCTTAAATTCTGCATAAACATATTTCTAAATAACAATTGTACCTGCTCACAATATGATTTTTGCTTTGATATTTTTCATCGAAGGTTCTGAAACTGTGTGGAGTAGCTAAAGTCTGGTAAATATTTGACTAACCAACTAAATAAATAAAAAAAGGCTTGAATTATTAAAATATATTTCGTTATATAGGAGTTATAAGCCGTTATTGGCTGTGTTAAAAGCACAGTGGTACAAGACCATGCAAACCATAAGGAAAATTTAATTAAAAAAAATTTAATTATGCGGTTTTATATTTTTTCTGCTAAAAGTAGTTATAAATAATAAAATATTTTTAAAATTATTTTTCTAATATGTTTGTGTAATTTATAATTTTATTTATGCGATTTGTTAAATTTTTCTAGTATACAAAAATATAATACGGCGTTTTAGAACAAATGTTTTGTTTATAGTCCAGAGTTGCCAATCAAATTTTAGAATATTTTCTATTAAAAACCTTTGTTACTATTTTTCTTCTTTTCTTTTTTTAAACATGTTTTCTTTTATTTTCAGCTATCATATTAAAACTATTAAATTCATTTACTCACATTTGTTATATATTTTTTTTTTACCATATTTGGGCACCATTTTATAAAGTCACTTAAATCACTTCACCACGAAAGCTAATAAAATTTATTGCGTATAAAATATTTACAAAGTAGAAAGTCTACAAAGCACTTTTTTCCAATTATTTACAACATAGTTTCATTTTCTAACACACATTTACATACCCACTTGTATGAATATTGCCAAAATAACGAAAAATAAAATTGAGAAGCGAAAATAATTTTTTAGCAAAAAGAGCAAAGTAGGAAAAATAAAGAAAAGGAATTTAAAAATTATTACACATTTTATATTAGCCCTTTCCTTGTACATAAATACAAATATATATGTTTGTATATAGCAGTGTATGAGTCACACAATATCGCCAAGTAGCAATCATACTTGAGAGAGTGAACTGAGAACACAGCTTCCGGCCTTAAATTCATACATACATATTATTAGAAGCATAAAAAGTTTTATAACTTAAATGAAGAAGTCTGGCAGTGTAGGCTGATAGCTCAGTGATGTACATACATACACACTAACAAAAAATTGCAAAGTTCAAAGTGAGTTAGTCATAAATTTCGGCTACAATTTCACTTTCACTGACATGACACACTCACTCAAATACATGCACACACATACACATACACTCAACCCACTCACACTCAAGGGACACGTGTGTACATCTTTAAAGTCATATAAATTTCTGGCATTGCGGCTTGTTGCTGTTTTTTACACGTATTATATTCGCTTCTTCTTAGATTTCTCTTGTATTTTGGTTTTCTTGCACATTTTTCTTCTTTAAAATTGCCTTTGTTACGATGTATGCATGTATGTATGTAGTTGGCCGGATCCTTAAGGCTCTTAAATAATAATAAGATTTGGCCAAATATTAAGCAAAATAAATGAGCGGACTCTTGTGTGCTCGCATGAGGATTTTTTTTCCTGTGATTT